GATGTTATACACAGAAAATCCCCAGTACTCAACAAAAAACTGTTAGAGCTAGTAGACCAAACTAGTAGAGTGGCAGGATACAAGATTAATAGCCGTCCATGTTTTCATTATTTTTGTTAGATGCCATTCATCCATGTTGTTGTTGTTGTTATGGAGCTCAGTTTACACAGTAGTAAGAAGCTGCATTGCAATCCCAAAGGCATGCAGTACAAATCCACCTGTTAGACAGTCTCCTTCCATGTAATTTACATCCTCTGATAACTCAATGGTAGGCCAAGTAGGTGTCAGTTCCAACTTGAAGACACACAGCAACAACAGAAAAAGAAACTTATTTTACACATCATTCATGTTATGAGGTGCATATTCATCCTTGTTCCTTAAGGTTAGGTGTATATACTTTTGTGTTGTATGTTAAGTGTATATTCTATTATGTGTGTGTTCTAGAGTTTGTCTAACCATTCATCCATTGATGGGCTCTTAGGTTGGCTCTGTCTTTTTGCTCTTGTGCACTAAAATTTGGTTGTGGTTTATAAAAGTCAGCATGAGTGTGGAGGAAGCAGTATCAGTTCTCTGATTTCACAAAGAGATGGAATAGCATCACCATCAATAGCCCAAGGCTGCTTCCTATAAGCCAGACATCCCTTCACACTTTAAACATTTTTTATCAATTCTGACACTCACGGTCTCTCCCGTGGCACTCATTACTTCTCTGCTGGGTTCAGTAACTCATTGCAATGGGCACACAGAACACATAGATCACAAACAATTTAGATGTATTAATTAAGAAGTAAAAGGTTACAATGTTGGTTCAAGAACAACTCAAGATATAGCTCTTAGTTTATTAGGACAATTTCTTTGCAGCTATACCTGAAGAAAGGCCTTTTTATGAACATAGATCCTACTCTGCAAGTATTATAAAGCCTTTAAAACTCTTGTTTTCAGTTACCCCAAAGCATCTCATTGTGATTGCATGGCTTGGCCCAAAGTTGCATAGCCCTACCTCCCAGGTTCAGCAAACTTATCTTCCTGACAAATGTTGAAGGCACTTACTCCACCAGTAAGTCTTCTGTCCAAAATCATTCAGCTTTCTCAATTTGGGGGCCGAGAATCCATCTGATATTTCATAACAGTGTTTTGGTCTTGCTGTCATCAGTTGCTATCTCTCACAGCTGCTCCATTGTTTCAGTGCATGAATGTTGAGTCCAGAAGAGACACTAGGAACTGTCTATTTCTTGAAGGTAATGATAGCCTCCCTTTCTACCTCTGAAGTAGCTCATTTGAATGCTGGCAAGTTAGCAAAGCTGACCAATTCCCACGTTAGTGTTCCACACACCTTATGTGCATGATACTGTCCACAAGTTTATTAGCAAGGCATCCACTCCTCTTGTTGGGCAACAAACATCTCTCTCACATTTGCATAACCTGACCCAGTCATTGTCATAGTGGACCCTCAAACAAGCTTTCAGAGACTGTAAGTCACACAGACAAGGATGATCGAACTTTTACATACTTTGTACATGTTTTCAGAAGGGACCAGTTCTTGGAAAAAGACATTTTACTGGGAAATGTATAGGGTCAGAGGAACAGACGATGACCATCAATAAGATGGATTGACACAGTGATTACCACAGTGAGTGTGAGGGTGACACATTGTAAGGATGTTGCAGGATACAGTAAGCTTCAGATCTGCTATTCAAAGTGGCACTAGGATGTGTAGTCGACACAGTGGAACTTAAGCTGCAACATCACCTCAATCATGTGGTGGTTGTTATTGATTGCTTTTGAGTCGAGCACAACTCATAGCGACCTGATGAGGGAAAGGCCTGAAGCCTTTCTGTAACTATTGAAATTTATTAAAGTTTCCAGAGGCATGTTGTTTAGGAAGTGGGTGCTACCATGATTGGAATTATTACAACAATTAATTCATGATGTTGTGCATATCTCTGAGTCACGATTCTTATTTTTCTATTATATGTACCTACTAATCATAACAAACTGTGGCTGACTTTGAGAAGAATGGGAATCCCAAAACATTTAATCGTGCTAATGTGAAACCTATACTTGGACCAAGAGGCAGTTATTAGAACAGAGCAAGGTAACACCACATGGTTCAAAATTGGGAAGGGTGTACGCCAGGGATGTGTCCTATCTCCATACCTTTTCAACCTGTATGCAGAGCAGATTATCTGAGAGGCCGGGCTCTATGGGGATAAGTGTGGCGTCAGAATTGGTGGAAGATCTATTAACAATCTGCGTTATGCAGATGACACAACTCTGCTTGCTGAAACTGAAGAGGACCTCATGCATTTGCTGCAGAGGGTCAAGGACTGCAGCCTTCAATATGGACTGAGGCTCAATGTCAAGAAGACAAAGATTCTCACCACTGGACCAATTGGTAGCATCAGGATGGATGGTGAAGAGATTGAGATTATTCACAGCTTCAGTTTGCTTGGCTCCACAGTCAACACTCCTGGCACCAACAACCAGGAAATCAAAAGATGTATTGCAATGGGACAGTCTGCTGTTAGGGACCTCTCTAAAGTACTCAAGAGCAACGGTGGCTCTCTGGAGACTAAGGTGCACCTGATACAGGCCATGGTCTTTGCAATCGCTTGTTATGCATCAGAGAGTTGGAAAATGACTAGGGAAGATAGAAGGAGAATTGATGCCTTTGAACTGTGGTGCTGGAGAAAAGTATTGAATGTACCCTGGGCTGCCAAGAAAACAAATAGATTCGTCCTAGAGAGGGTTAAACCAGGCTACTCCTTGGAGGCAAGGATTCTAGGGCTTTGCCCGACATACTTTGGACATGTTGTAAGGAGAGGCAGGTCCTTGGAGAGGGACGTCATGCTTGGTAAGGTGGAGGGACAGTGCAGGAGGGGAAGACCCTCTATGAGGTGGATTGATTTAGTGACTGGGGTAATCAGGATGGGTGTGTCAGAAGCAATGCGATTGGTACAGGATAGAGCAAGGTTTAGGGCTGTTGTACATAGGGTCGCTATGAGTCGCAAGCGACTCGATGGCACATAACAACAACAACAACAATGGGATTGAAAGGAGCTCTGGTGGCCTACTGGTAAGAAGCTATGCTGCAATCACAAAGGCACATGGTTTGAATCCACCATACAATTAATTCCCTCTGAAAATCTACTGGAAGGTCAGCTGTGGTTTGGTTCCAAGTAGATGGTACTCAGCAACAATAGTAAGACTGCAGAATCAGATGGTATTTCTATTTATAAATTTGAAAGGAATCTTTTTTTTTCTCACAGTAGTTACACCATTTTTCAGTCCCACTAGTAATGTATGAGGGTTCTCCTCTTTCCACTTCCTTGCTAGAATTTCCTTTATGAATTTTGGTGGATTTTAAAAAAAAACTTTGTAGGATGAGATGATCTGGTATATGTAGTAATTTGTAGTATATTGTGCTGCTAGACAAAAGGTCAGCAGTTTGAATTTATTAGCTTCTCTGTGGGAGAAAGATGGGCAGTCTTCTCTCCTAAATATTTTACTGTCACGTATCCATGGTCTCTTCTTGTTCTCAAAATCCATCACGTGTAAGTCATTCCTCTACCTTTTTGTTCAACACAATTCTTATGCTTTGTATATTTTCTTCTTTAATTTTAGTATTCTTCTAATAGAGCAATATTAGAGATTTGTCTTCAAATCAAGAATTCTGCTCTTTACCTGATTCACTTCTATACTTTTTCTCTTTCAATAGATTATCTGTTTCTGAAATTTTGGTATCAGTCTTCTGGATTTATATTTACTGTTTTTATATTGTATTATTTTCTGTTTATTTTGTCAATTTGTTATTGTGGTTTTTTTTCCAGAATTTTGCTTATGCTTTCCTTTATCTCTTTCTTTATTTGTTGAAGGAATCTATCTATCTATATCTATCTATCATCTATCTATCTATCTATCTATCTATCTATCTATCTATCTACCTATCTATCTACCTATCTATCTATATTATTTCTTACCAGAGAGTTATATTAGTATTTACTTCTTCAGAAGGTTATCAGACCTTGAATTTTGGTCATTGCCAACCATGGAGTTGGCATGGGTAGATGTTACTGATCATGGAGATGATAAGGGCATATTCAGCCATGGAGGCTGAAGTCATTGAAGGTACACTCTCTAAGGGTATGGCCCTCACATGTGTGAGCCCTTGGGCTGCCAGTCTTCAACTTGTTGGAGCACACTTTATGCTAACAGGGGAGTGGAGAATAGAGGGTCCATAGGGATTGTTGGCTGGCTAAAGGAATCATTAGGTGAGGAATGGAATTTTACCACTCACTAGTAGGGTGGTCTGTAGAAGAGTGAGCAGTCTCCTGTGAAGTTTATTGCCTCTGAAAACCTGATGGAGTGTCAGCTGTGACTCATTTTCTACTCAGGGTTACAGAACAACAACAGTAAAGTGGAGAATATGTCTTATCATTGGAATATTGTGTATTATTGGGGAGATACCATACCGCTCTGATTGATGGCACCAGTGTGGATGCCATTAAAATCCTGGATGGAGCCACTTATATGCTATTTACGATCAAAACTTTCCTCTGTGAATATCTTCTACATAAGAGTATAAGTATTTTTTATTATCATCTTTCAATCCATTTAATCTCATCACACCTCATATTCAACTCCTTCCCACCAAGTGATTCATAAATGCTCTTCTAAATCAAGACAGATATTCTCTGAAAAGGAAGCAGATGAGTGGTGATGTTAACACATACTATGTTATTGACCTTTAGTTCCAATTTCTGCATCTAAAATCTTCATATTTTACACTTGTCAAATGTAGTTGTTTGCATCCATGACTGATCACATGCATGGAAACACATTGTAAAATGTGAAACAGGGATTGGAGATTGAAGGCACCATCACAGCTATCATTATCATCACTATAAATATAATTTGTTAAAATTACATAATGTGTCACAGCTTCCTTTCTTTTTCACTGTCCCATCCAATGACAACAAGGATCTCTTTAACATCCACAGCTTCCAGAGCTGAGATGTGCAGTGGCACAGGGGAACGGTTCCGGATCTTCCGTGCTGAGAAGACTTACGCCGTAAAGGCAGGAAGATGGTACTTCGAATTTGAGGCTGTTACTGCTGGAGACATGAGAGTTGGCTGGAGCAGGCCAGGGTGTCAGCCTGACCAAGAGCTTGGCTCAGATGAACGTGCCTTTGCTTTTGATGGCTTTAAGGTGAGTAGGTTTTCTGTGTATCAAAGTATGGCAGAATCCCATGCTGGCATTTCAGAATTCTCCACATGTCCCTTTTGGTGGTATAATACCAATATTTTCCATGTTGCAGATAGGAAATTGTTTTCCTCTAGTCTCACAATATTTTATCAAACCCACACATAACTTCTAACTCAGAGGCAGCACTTTTTTGATGTTTCAAATCCACCAGTGGCTCCATGGGGAAAGGATAGGCAATCTTATTCTGAGCCATATCCAACTCTGGAAACCTGCTGGAGAGTGAGCTTTGGATAATTTTTGACTCAATATCAGTAAATATGGGCTTTGAATGTTTTTTAAGAGACAAAAATTTTCACACCTTTTGATACTTACTAATTTAATTTTTATAAAGAATGAACAGTATCATATTTTCCCTTAGTAATTATATCCCATATCAAATTGCAAGATGGTAGATAAGGGGGAATTTTAAAGATGGTACTGCAAAGTAATTGTTGTAGTTAATTTTATAACAACTAACTTGTGATATTTAGTTGTAGACATAAAAGTCACCTTTATCAAAACTTTCAAATATATACAGATGTATAAGTGGTTTTCTCACAGCTATATATAAGATATTCCCTTGTGGACTTAAAATAGGATTGGCATTTCTAAGACTTCATTTCCTCTCAATAAATATATTAATATTTTGGGTTTGATTTCAAGCTTTTCTGGTTTTAGTAGACAGATGAAATATTTCTAGATTTTCTTTTTATTAAAGTATCAGTGTCACTGGGTACAAGGGATATAATTTTATTTTGAAGTAAATGAAAATTGGAATGCCATTTTCAATAATAAGCTGCCAGCTTGATCCCCAGCTCATACTCTGTATTTCTAGAAGCAGAGAAAAGTGATTCATATCCTGGGAAGCACTGACTATAACAAGAAAAGACATTTCAGAAGACATACAGAGTTTCTTTTAATAGAAAGGGTTTTTTGGTTTTTTTTAGGAAGATAACTTTCAAAGTCATGAAACAACATTCGGTTTTTCTCAAGATGTAGTACGATTCCATGTTAATATTAAACTAAAACCCAAATCTTATTGCTATTGAGTCATAACTAATTCATAGTTGATACATACTAAGAGTTTGCAAATGTTGTAAATGATACAGGAGATTGCTCATTTTTCTTCCTTGGAGTAGCTGGGGGATCCAAACCATGAGCCTTTGGATTGACAGTGCAACTCCCTACCAGTAGGCCTCCAGGTCAACTTTATCACTTAGAACATTGCATTGCACTAGATAATAGCACAGATGGTGAGAGTTCCTCATGCTGCCATGTCAACAGGAAAGTCTGGTGTTGAGGCCTGCACTGTTGGTGGATGAGTGTCATTCACCTGGCCAACTCAAGACACATGACTCTTCTTCCCTTGTAGGCACAGCGGTGGCACCAGGGCAATGAGCACTATGGGCGCTCGTGGCAAGCAGGGGACGTGGTGGGCTGCATGGTGGACATGAATGAGCACACCATGATGTTCACGCTCAACGGGGAAATTCTCCTTGATGACTCTGGCTCAGAATTGGCTTTCAAGGACTTTGAGGTCGGTGATGGTAAGTAAGGGGCCTGCATTCCATGATGATTTCAAGTTGGCAGCATCACAAAGCGGTTTGTTCTCAAGTTTTATAGTAAGACGGTGGGCAAATGAATTGTAGCTTTAAATAACAAGTATTCAATATGGCTCCTCTGATCAGACATCCTTGAATTTACTTTAGCAGAAATACTTTCTCTGAGATCCTTAGTTAGAATTTCAAATGTGAAGAAGTGGCTTCTATAGACTTTTATGAATATGAACTACAATAGATATCAGGGCAAAGAAAAGAATGGTTTTCCATAAGTGTAATATTTTCATTTAGAAATCTCATCTGTCATGGAATTTCTTCAACATAGTAAAAAGTTGTATTTATGAAAAGCCGAGAGCCAACATTGTTCTCAATGGAGAGTAGCTAAAGGCATTCCCTTTAAGAACAGGAACTAGGCAAGGATGCCCATTATCTCCTCTCTTATTCAATATTGTATTGGAAGTATTAGCGATATCAATAGGCAAGAGAAGGAAATAAGAGGTATCCAAATTGGCAAAGAGGAAGTAAAATTATCTTTCTATACAGGTGATATGATAGTATACTTAGAAAACCCTAAAGATTCAGCAAGAAAACTACTGGACATAGTTGACCAATTCAGCAAAGTAGTAGGATACAAGATCAATTGGATTTTGCTACAGTGAGAAAGAGAATACAGAGCCAGAGCTAAGAAAAATAGTACCCTTCACAATAGCGAATCACAAGATTAAATACTTGGGAGTAAATCTAACAAGAAGCACAAAGGATCTATTCAAAGAAAATTACAAAACATTACTACAAGAAACAAAAAGAGACCTAGAGAAGTGGAAGAATATCCCTTGATCATGGATAGGAAGACTCAATATTGTGAAAATGTCAATATTCCCAAAGGCAATTTACACATTCAATGCAATCCCAATACATATACCAGTACAATTCTTCAATGAGATGGAAAAGGTAATCTCCAATTTCATTTGGAATGAAAAGAAGCCCCAAATAAGCAAAGCACTTCTTAAAAATAGAAAAAAGGTAGGAGGCATCTCACTCCTTGCTTTCAAATCCTGTTACACTGCCATGGTGTTTAAGACAGCATAGTACTGGTACAATGACGGGCATATAGATCAATGGAATAGAATTCAGAATCCAGAAATCAGCCCATCTATGAAGAGATCTATATTTGTTCCCATTTCAAAGAAGGGTGACCTAAGAGAGTGTGGAAAGTATAGGACAATCTCATTGATTTCACATGCAAGCAAGATTCTACTGAAGATTATCCAAAACGACTGGAACAGCACATCAGCAGAGAACTGCCAGAAATCCAGGCTAGGTTTAGAAGGGGTCGTGGTACTAGGGATATTGTAGCTGATGTTAGATGGATCTTAGCTGAAATCAGGGAATACCAGAGGAATGTCTATCTGTGTTTCATTGATTATGCAAAGGCATTTGACTGTATAGATCATAAAAAACTGTGGCTGACTCTGAGAAGAAAGGGAATCCCAGAAAACTTGATGGTGCTAATGTGAAACCTATACTTGGACCAGGAGACGGTTGTCAGAAAACAGCAAGGGAACACTGCATGGTTCAAAATTGGGATGAGTGTATGCCAGGGTTACATCCTATCTCCATACCTTTTCAACCTGTATGTAGAACAGATTATCCGGGAGGCTGGGCTCTATGAAGAGAAATGTGGGGTCAAGACTTGTGGAAGATCTATCAACAATCTGCGATATGCAGATGACACAACCCTGCTTGCTGAAACTGAGGAGGACCTGAAGCGCTTGCTGCAGAGGGTCAAGGACTGCAGCCTCCAATATGGATTGAGGCCCAATGTCAAGAAGACAAAGATTCTCAGAACTGGGCGAATTGGCAGCATCAGGATGGATGGTGAAGAGATTGAGATTGTTCACAGCTTTAGTTTGCTTGGCTCCACAGTCAACACTTTTGGCACCAGCAGCCAGGAAATTAGAAGGTGTATTGCCATGGGAAAGTCTGCTGTTAGGGACCTCTCCAACGTGCTGAAGAGCAATTGTGTCTCTCTGGAGACTAAGGTGCGTCTGATACAGGCTATGGTCTTTGCAATCACTTGTTATGCATCAGAGAGTTGGACAATGACCAAGGAGGATAGAAGGAGAATTGATGCCTTTGAGCTGTAGTGCTGAAGAAGAGTGTTGAGAGTACCGTGGACTGCTAGGAAAACAAACGGATTCATCCTGGAAAGGGTTAAACCTGGTGGCTCTTTGGAGGCAAGGATTCTGAGGCTCTGTCTAACATACTTTGGACATGTTGTGAGGAGAGACCAGTCCTTGGATAAGGACATCATGCTTGGTAGTGTGGAGGGACGGCGCAGGAGGGGAAGGCCCTCAATGAGGTGGATTGATTCAGTGACTGGGGTAATCGGGATGGGAGTGTCAGAGACAGTGCAATTGGCACAGGAGCGAGCAGAGTTTAGGGCTGTTGTACATAGGGTTGCTGTGAGTCGCAAGAGACTCGACAGCACATAACAACAACCTATGACCAACTGATTTTTGACTAGGAGATGAAATAAGTTAGGAAAGGACAGCCTTTTTAACAAATGGTTCTGGCAAAACTGGAAAACTATCTACAGAAGATTCAAGCAAGATCCACACCTCACTCCATATACAAAAAACAACTCAAGGTGGATCATGGAAATAGGACTGAAAGCAAGGACTATAAACTTCATTAAAGACACATTTGGAAGAGCTCTAGTAGTCTTAATCCACAACATAAACAGTCCTCCAAGTATCCTGAAAAATCTACAACCAGGAGAAGATAAAATAGATAAATGGGACCTTCTATGAATCCCCAGACTCGTACAAAAACTTCTCCAACAGGGTAAAAAGGAAGCCACAGACTGGGAAAAAGTATTTGGTAATGACTTGTCTGATAAGGTACTTACATCTAGAATTTATAAAATACCTGAGCAGCACAACAAGATAAAGGTAAATAACCCCATTGAAAAATGGGCACAGCATATGAACAGACACTTCACCAAAGAAGACATTCAAATGCCCGACAAGCACATGAAGAGATGTTCAAAATCCCTATCTTTAAGAGAGATGCAAATCTAAAGAACTATGAGATATCATATCACCCCAGTCAGAATAGAAAAATTTAACAGAACAGCAGGCAACAAATTCTGGCGAGGTGGAGAAACTGAAACCCTTATTCCCTTGTTGGTGGAAGTGTAAAATGGTGCAACCACTGTGGAAGGTGGTGTGGCACTTTCTCAAAAATTTGCGAATAACGGTACCATTTGACCCAGCAATTCCACTACTGGGAATATACCGCAAAGAAACCATAACTGACATCCAAGCAGATATATGCACACCCATGTTTATTGCAGCTTTGTTCACAATAGCAAGGAGTTGGAAACAACCTAAGTGCCCATCAACAAAGGAATGAATAGAGAAGCTGTGGTATATTCATTCAAACAGTGGAACAGTACTCTGCTTTGGAAAACAAGGAGCTCATGCAATATTATTCAGAATGGGTGACCCTGGAGGACATTATGCTGAGTGAAATATCTCAGTCACAATAGGACAAATGCTTCATGGGGTCACTGTTGTAAAACAGGACTGACATCAGTGTTGGGGGAGACTGAGAAAGAGGGGATAAATAATGTATACTGCATTGAAACAGATGAGGGAAAAGATTGTTTAGGGGGGATATGTGATTAGGTGTTTTTGTCATGACAGGAGGCCAGAGCAAAGGCTGCATAGTGCAGTGGATGTGGGGCAAAGGGTTGTAAAATAATGAAAGAATTTTTCTTTTACTTTTCAAAGAGAAGAATGTACTGGGGTGTGGGTATGGAGAAAAATGCAACAAAGAATGACTGGAAAACCAAAGTCTCTGTAAATTTTTGTTGAAATTAATAATTTAAAAAAATTTTAAAAGCTGAATATAGAAATTCCACATGACCCAGCTATTCCACTACTTGGAATTTTCCCTGAAAAAATGAGAACTGAGACACAAACTGAGATTATTACACTGATGTTCATAGCGGCATGATTCACCATCACAAAAACATGGAAACAGCCTAATATCCAACCACAAACGAATGGATTGAGAAATGATGGTACATTCACACAATGGAATATTATGCAACATGTAGGAGCAATGATTTTTACCTATATTCTTACCTAACTTGTGAGAGACTAAAGAGCATTATGCTGAGTGAACTTAGTCCCACAAGGATAAATATTATATAAAACTGTTATTGCAGAATGAGCATAAGGATCCAAGAGGGGTGGGAGAGGTTGGATGTAGAGGGATGAGGATGTGCAGCAGGAGGAAGAGATTAATCATGGGGTTGTACAATTTTATGGGTTGGAGGGTGAGGGAAATTGAAGCAATTTGTTCGAATTTCAATTCAAGTTTTGTAAATAAAGTACTAGAAAAAAATTAAAAACAACAATAAAGAACTTAAAAATAAAACAACTAGAGATGTTAAGGATTTGAAGAGAGGAACCAAATCTATCATCATTTTCATGTGATGTACCTATTTACAAAGAAGCCCAAAATAATTTATTGACAAATTATTCTATTTAATTGGAGGAATAAAGGGAGCTCCGCCAATCTAGTAGGTAGGGAGTTTTACTGCCATGCCAGAGGTGGGCAGTTCAAATCCACCATCTGCTCTGTTGGAGAAAGATGAGAATAAAGAGAACTCCGCCAATCTAGTAGGTAGGGAGTTTTACTGCCATGCCAGAGGTGGGCAGTTCAAATCCACCATCTGCTCTGTTGGAGAAAGATGAACAGTTCCCTCCTTTGTCATTTACAGCTTCTGAAGACTGCTGAAGGGTCAGCTATGAGTCAGTTCCTAATACTAAATGAGTATTTTTGAAAATCGGAGATTTTAACAAAAGGATATTCCTATACCTGCACAAAGTACTGAATATCCCATGGATTAACAAATGATACGTCCTAGAGAAGGTACAGCCAGAATGCTCCTTGAAGTCAAAGATGATAAAATA